TTGAGGTACCCCAAAGAGGGGGCACCTCCTCGCGCTTGAGCTCCGTGGCTCCACACAGCTTGAGGGCAGCTTCTACCGGCCTCAGCCCCTGTTTGACCCCCCTCGGGTTTAGGGTTTAGGGTTTAGGGTTTAGGGTTTAGGGTTTAGGGTTTGGGGTTTAGGGTTTAGGGTTTAGGCTTTAGGGCTACCCCACTAAGATCCCCCTTAAAGAACCTTTAATGAGGCTTAATTATCCTTAAGTAGCCTGCATTGTGGGGGAACCTGAGGGCGGGGGGGGGGGGGGGGGGGTAGTACAGAGGGGGTAGTACCCCTAAAACCCTAAACCCTAAACCCTAAACCCTATAGATAGAGGAACCCAGATCCTAAGGGTGAGACCTTGCGCGCTCTCTCAAGAGCGCCCAGCACACCTATCCTTTCCTTCCTGGAATTCAAGGGAACCCAAACCCGCGAGTTAGGGCTTAGGGTTTGGGGTTTGGGGGGTTTGGGGTTTGGGGTTTGGGGTTTAGGGTGTGGGGGTTTAGGGTTTAGGGTTTAGGCTTTAAAACTTGGGCTTGAAGTGTGAACATCTTAAGGTTTAGGGCTTAGGGTGCCAAAGCCCCTCATCTGCCGAAAAGGCTATGACAACCAGAAAACAACTGTACAGCCCCAGAAGCCCTTCTAGAACTCAAGCACAGAATTTGCGGCCTGAACCAACCCTCCAAACCCCATGCCAGGATGCACAAACCAAACCCTACCCCTTCACACCGTGGAAACCCTAAACCTTAAATCCTCTAAAGGCCCAAAGCGCCAAAGCGTGAAAACCCCTAAGCGCCCAAAACCATTAAACGCAACTCACAACCCTCGACGCTAAACCCGACTCTAAACCCTAAAACCTAAATCCTCAACCCTAAACCCTAAAAGCACCTCATCCCCCCAACGCCCGGAACCGTCAAGACCCTGATGCCCGAAGCGCTAAGACCCCAAAACCTCAAACCCCTAAACCCTAAGTCCCTAAGTTTCTAGGGTTTCGGGTTTGGATGGGTTTAGGGTTTAGGGTTTAGGGCTTAGGGCTTAGGGTTTAGGGCTTAGGGTTTGGGGTGTCGGGTCAAGACCTCAAAGACCTTGTTGGGCCCTGGGCAAGCAGGTCGTAGGTTTGGCCCTGGTGTCGGATTGGCAGCCAGTCTCCCTGGCCCGCTCGGCTGCAGGGTTTGGTGGGTTTCGAGGGGTCTAGGAATCTAGTTTAGGGTGTAGGGTCTTTGGGGCCCGCTGAAAAATATTGGAGACATGATCCTCCTTAAGCCAGAAGCGACAAACTGCAACTTCCCAAAGCCCTACCCAGGGTTATTTGAGTCGTAGGTGTTCTTGGGGCTTACAGAGCTTTATGCAAGGTGATTGGCTGTAGGGTTTGTCTAGGGTTTTCGGATTCAGGGCTTGAAGGCTGATAAGCCTGAAGGGTCGCCGGGGTTTTAGGTGGAAGAATTCCCGTGTTGCGAGCGAAGTGTGCTCGATGATGTCGGTTAAGAAAACCAAGTTCGTCTGCTTCACGCCGGCAGGCGTGCTAACCAGCAGCACAAAGGCGCTACATGTTAATTCCTGCCTCGCAGTCAACCCACAAAAGGCAGTGACCAGGTTGCAACCGTGTCGCCCTACATGGGTGGATGTCAGAACTGGGGTCCCCTTTTTGGATCCCCATTATAATACGGCACCTAATATTTAGGGTACCCCCAAAAGGGACCATAATTTTGACAACCACCCACATAGACATTTTTGTCTGTCTGTCTGGGCTTGGGGCTTTCAGTGATCTCCAGGCTTCTGGGGGTTGGGATCTCAGGGCTCACAGGGATCTTAGGGTTTCCCGGGTCCTGGGGTTAAGGGTTTGGGGTTTAGGGCTTGGGTTTAGGGCACGGGTTTAGGGTTGAAAGGGTTTAGGGTTTAGGGTTTCGGGATTCCAAGGGCACATGGCTTAGGGTTGCCAAAGCTGAGGGCTCAGGGTTCTCGAGTTACAGATGGAACCCTCCCAGCCCTTTCAAGACCCTCAAGCCCTAAGCCCTGAACCCTACATCCTCATTCCTAAACCCTACATCCGAAACCCTGAACCTAATTCAACCCGAAACCAAGAACCCTGAATCGATATCCTCGTGGCTGGAAGGCCATACAAAAAGTTCAGAATCGAGCGCGCGAGATTTTGGGTTTGGGGTTAAGGGTTTAGGGTTGCGAGTTTAAGGTTGGTGGGATTGAGTGTTTAGGCCAAACCCTCAACCCCAAAACCCTAAAAGCCTTGAACTAAAACCCCAAAAAGATCTAAAACCTACAAAACCAAACGCCGAAACAAACCCCAAACCCCAAACCCTCTCCCTCCGCCCCCTCAACCCTAAACCCTAAACCCTATACCCTAAACTTTAAACCCTAAACTTTAAACCCTAAACCCTAAACTCTAAACCCTAACCCTAAACCCTATACCCCAAATCCCTCCCCAAATCTCACGTCAGACTTCGGCTCCTGCGTCAAGGCCGTGTGCCCACGAAGCGTCTCTAAGAGAACCTAAGCGAGACAAGAGCTAGGTTTTAGGGTTTAGGGTTTAGGGTTTAGGGTTTGGGGTTTGGGGTTTGGGGTTTGGGGTTTGGGGTTTGGGGTTTGGGGTTTGGGGTTTGGGGTTTGGGGTTTGGGGTTTCGATCTGTAAAGGCTTTGGGTTTTGGGGTTCTCGGGTCTAGAGTGTTCGGGCTTGCGGTTTTGGGTGTAGTTTAAGTTGAAAGTTTCACGCTTAGGCTTTGGCATTACCCAGTGCCTATTCAGTACCTTAAGCTACAAGTCCGATAGCTAAGCGACTGGTATGGGGCCTAAACCCTAAACTCTGCAAACCCTGTAAACCCCAAACCCCTGGGGTGCTTCTGGGCCTGAGGGTCGATCCATCGAGAGGGCTTGTACCGGTTTTGGGGGGTTTGCCCGACTTCCTGGTTTCCTCGCCCTCAATAAGAGAGTACGGCGTCTAAGTCTCGAAGAATGACTAGACCCCGGAGTGGCCTAAGAATAAAGAGGGTGGCTTAGAAGGGAACCTAGTAATAAGAAAGGGACGAAGGGCCTACTCTGGGTCCTAGATGGAGGTCCATGAGGCCGGCTGGTGGCAGCGGATCTCTCTCGGATATCAGATGCGGACTCACCAGACACTTCATGTCGTATTGTGTGGCATGTCCAGGCTGATGCAGATTCCCCAAACCCTATATGAACCCTATAAACCCTAAAGCCACAGGGCGCAAACAACAACCCCAAACCCCAAACCCTAAACTCTAAACCCTGAATCCTAAACCCTAAACCCTAAACCCTAAACCCTAAACCCGAAACTCCCGAAACTCAAAACCAGGGGCCCAGCATGCTCCAGGTCCAGGGAGATGACTTTCATGCCCCCGACATGGAAGCCCTGCGTGTTTAGGGTTTAGGGTTTGGGGTCTAGGGGTACAGGCTTAGGGTTTAGGGGTGAGTGTCTTAATGGAGATGAGATAACTCTCGGTCTACTTGAAGGCTTGTAATGTAGGTCTCTTTTGGGCTTAGAGGACAAAACTATACCATCCTAAACCCTAACCCTAAACACTAAATCCTACACCCCTGAAACGGTACTACCTCGCGGCCTTGATAAACCTCAACCGGTGGGAGATTTATAGGGTTCTTAAGGAAGGGGGGTTCAAGGGAGGTATGTAACCCAAGGTTCCCGAACACTCCCCACAACTTCCTAAGGCTCCCCAAGCTTCCTAAGGTTCCCTGTGGACCTTCCATTCTAGACCCTAAACCCTAAACCCTGAAACCCCCTTCATAGGAAAGCCTCTCCGCGAGGCTGCAGCTTGACGAGGCTCTTGGCGCAGCGGGGAAGCTTCACCTCGCTTTCGGGGGGCTTTATGGCAGGGTTTAGGGTTTAGGGTTGAGGTTTAGGGTTTAGGGTTTAGGGTTTAGGGTTTAGGGTTTAGGGTTTAGGGTCTAGGGTCTAGGGTCTAGGGTCTAGGGTCTAGGGTCTAGGGTCTAGGGTCTAGGGGTCTGGGGTTTCGGGGTCTCGGGTCTAGGGTTTAGGGATAAACCCTGAAGCTGAGCCCTACTCAACTTATGGGGCGGCCTACACCAAAACCGAAAGCCCACAAAAAGGTCTCCATGATTCACGCTCAAAAGCCCTAAGCCCTCTGAAGCGTCCCTGTGTCCTAACACCCCCAAAAGCCCTAATCCCTGAGATAGCCCCAAACCTGCAGAACGTTCAGGGTTTCGGGCTTTGGCTTGATTGTTAGGGTTTAGGGTGTTTAGGGGTGAGGGTTGAGGGTTTAGGGTTTAGGGTTCAGGGTCCTTCAGGGAGGGGGTTCATGGGGGGGTAGGTGCCTGGGGAACCCCTAAACCCTAAACCCCAAAACCCAAACCCGAGCCACCAAAACCGAACCTCCACACCCCCAAGCCACACAGACGCGCAGAACACCGCCTCAAAAAAAAAACAAGTTCGGATGCACAGAAGAAGCCCTCAAGTTTAGGGTTCAGGGTTCAGCATCTCAAGCCCAGGCATTCACTACATTCGCTAGTCAAGCAGTGTGGCATGCGAGCATCAGCAATGCGTACGAACCTTCATCCCGGCTTCCTGTGAAACGCCAGCATCCTTCAGGTCGTTGATCATGCGGTGGCGGCCGGAGTGGATTCGAATCCTGTCGACTGTGGACGAATGCCTTCTTAGGAGGGTCGAAGCGGTGCCGAGCCCTCGCGACTGCTTTGCACACAGTGTCCTTCACTCGATGAAGCTCCTTCGCGTCGCTCCGCTCTGATGGGAACACGAAGGCAGCATGCTTCTTGGGCCATGTCCACTTGTCTGCGAAAGCAACGGTTCCACGAGCTCACGGGCCTTTCCAGGCTTTTTAACACTGGTTAAGACATTTAAAGTTCACTCAAACCATATAGGCCCTATATCAACCCCAAGCCCTGCACCTCTCGCCTCACACCGCTTTTCCAATCAGATAAGTTTAGACGGAAACGAGGGAGGGGTTTAGGGTTTAGGGCTTTGTCAGACTAATAAATGAGATGACATCTCGCAGCCAAAGTAGTCGTTTTTGGCATCCGGGTGGCCTCAAGAAGCTTTGGGAAGCTTAGGGGGTCCGGTTACGGCTCTGGTTTTGGCGTCCAGGGCGCCCAATTTTGGCATCAGTAATCAGGATTTATATTTTGAAAGAAAGAAAGAGTTTAGGGTTTGGGGTTTGGGGTTTTGGGTGTAGGTTTCCCTGAACCCTAATCCCTAAACACCGTGCACACTGCAAACCCTACCCCTCTCCCCCCCAACAAACAACTGCACCCTCTGAAACGCAGGTCTGACAGCACAAACTCAGACCCTAAATCCTAGTGAAGCCCTGACACAAGATAAGCCCTACATCCCAAACCCTGATTCAGCCTCAGAGCCTGAACCAAACTTGGAGCCTAAACCCAAAGCACCGACTAAACCCAAAACCTAAGCCCTAACCCGAAAGATGCCTGCACCCAAGACCCGTCTTAAGCCCTCTAAGGGCAAATCGTAAACCCTCTAAACCCTAAACCCTAAGCCCTGAGCCCTAAACCCTAAACCCTAAACCCTAAACCCTAGACCCTAAACCCTAAACCCTAATCGTGGGCCCCAGGCGTAGCGCACTTCGACCTGCGCCATGGCGTCCAAGGTCTGAAGCCCGGCGCCCTTGGCCGTCCAGGTGGCCCAAGAAAAAAACCCTAAACCCTAAACCCCAAACCCCAAACCCTAAACCCTAAACCCTAAACCCTAAACCCTGAACCCTGAACCCTGAACCCTGAACCCGGACCACGACCTAAATCCTGAACCCTGAACCCTGAACCCAAACTCTGAACCCTGAACCCTAAACCCTGAACCCAAACTCTGAACACTGAACCCTAAACCCTGAACCCTGGGTGTAGTGACCCTAAACCGAGCCCTGAGCAATGTTTTAGGGTTTGGGGGTTTAGGGTTTTTGAGGTTGGGCTCGTGATGAGCAGCAACTGCGTAGCTTCGGCTGATTAGGCTAGAGCTCCAGGCCTGTATGGCAGCGGAGTAAGACAATTGAAACCTTTCCTGAACCGTCGCCCTGCCAGTAGGGGGTCTCGCGGGGATCTAAACTGAAGGAGATGTGACCTCGGTTACACTGTACAAGGAGTAAAACAGGTAGAATTTCACAAGGATTTAGGGTTTAGGGTTCTTAAGGGAGGGGGGTTCATGAAGGGTGGGTCCTTAGGGAAGCTTAGGGAGCTTTAGGGAGTAGTAGAGAGTCTTAGGGAACCTTGGGTGACATACCCCCCTTGAAGAGCCCCTCCCTTAAGAACCCTATAATGAACCCCGAAGGCCTAAACCCCAAAGCCAGGGAACACGAACCGTTCTTGTTGGTCTTGTTCTGGACCCTAAATCCTCAACCCTAAACCCTAGACCCTAAACCCTGGACCCTAAACCCTAAACCCTAAACGCTAAACCCTAAACCCTTAAACCCAGGGGGGGGGGGGGGGGGGGGGGGGGTTGACCCGCACCTTGGTCAAGCAAAGCGCGACTCGCGGTGGCACGCCCACGGTCCCCTCCTGCACAAAAAGGCAGTCTCTGTGGGATGTAGTTAGGGTTTAGGGTTTAGGGTTTAGGGTTTAGGGTATAGGGTTTAGGGTTTAGGGTTTAGGGTTTAGGGTTCAGGGTTTAGGGTTTAGGGTTTAGGGACTAGGGATTAGGGTATAGGGATGTAGAACTTAACCTGGGACTCTATTTACAATTCTGCGGGTCAACCCCCCGCCCCCCAAGCCATCCAGACAGAACTCAAATGAAACCCTAAACGTTTAGCCTAAACCCTAAAGCCTAAACCCTAAAACTCAAAAATTAAAACCCTACTTAGGACGCTATTTACCGACAGTTTAGTAGCAAGTACCCCCTATGTAGTCGGTATAACCCTTAACGCTGTAGGAAAAATAGGGCCCCAAAACTCGAAAGCTGTAAGCCCTGAACCCCCCTGGGTTCCCTCATCGTTAAGGCTCTTTCGGGATAATTCAGCCTGACTAAAGATATTTAAGGAGGGAACATCGGGTGGTAGCCTTAAACCCTAAACCCTAAACCCTACACCCTAAACCCTAAACCCTAAACCCTAGGGGGTACTCAAGACGGGGTGGTAGGGGCACCTATGACCAACCCCCCCGCCCCCCCCTCCCTTGCGTGGACCTCCGCCGTGAATTCGGCGACCTTAGCAGATCAGGGCCCTCTGCATCACCCCTAAACCCTAAACCCTAAACCCTAAACCCTAACCCCTAAACCCTGTTGAGCGCAACTTCAGGGATTGGAGTTCCTCGGCGGGTACCTTCTATAAGAGGCTCCTCTTCCGGGAGAGAAAGAGGGGCCCGAAGGGCTTAGAGTTCAGGGACTACCTTAAGATAATCGATGCCTTAAACCCTAAACCCTAAACCCTAAACCCTAAACCCTAAACCCTAAACCCTAAACCCTAAACCCTAAACCCTAGAATAACGGGTTTAGGATGTTCAAGCCCTAGAGTTTCTCTCCCCCAAGAAAACCAAGAAGCCATTCCTTTCACCTTGAGAGCCCTAAAGAGCCCTTGAACCCTCAAGCCTTTCAGCCCTTAAGCCCTTGAACCCTTACCCCTCTATGACCTTGCACTCATAACCTTGAAACCCATGAAATTCACCCAAACCCTGAACCCTCTTCAGCCCTGAAACCCCAAAAAAAGCCGTCTCAAACCCTAAACCCAGTGGAGCCTGTATCCACACCTGTGGCCCGGGCGCCAGCATGTGTGGAGCCGCTTGCTGGGTCTGCACCTACACATTTCGGGCTTCTAGGGTAAAAACCCTAAACCCTAAACCCTAAACCCAAAACCCAAAACCCAAAACCCTAAACCCTAAACCCTAAACCCTAACCGGTTCAGGTCTTTAGGGTTGCTGGATGGCGCTTTCCAGGCTTAGTCTCAAGCCTCGAAAAGCCCTACGAGCCCATTTCAGTACGAGTGCTCACATTGCTACGATATGCTGCGGGCTTCTCTCAACGATCAATGTTGAAATTTGAATACATTCTGGGAGCTTTTGCGGATGAAAAGCCCCTGCAGTTCAACGCGCCAGCTGTTTTGGCTCCATCCTCGCCAACACCTGGAGCACATGCCCGTTCCCTTCTTTCGGTGCGCATTACGTGCAACATGGCTACGGCTGCTAGGCTGTGCAATCACATCCCCATCTCTCAGAGGTTCAGGCTTTCGAATCTCACATCTCAGGTTGCAGGCGAGACTCACACGTCCCCTCTTGCGATTCCGCTCTGTGTCTAGCTGGCGTTTGAGCCAACAGCCACATCCCGATGGGCGTTGTGACGAAACCACAAACAACTGGCACAGTCACCTTGACGACGTCACCGAAGAATGTCGCACCCAAAGTGACTGTTGTCAAGTTCTGCAGCACTGGCAAGACGGTGCCGATGCCTTACTTCTCCAAAAACCAAGGAGCACAAAAGGTTAAGCTCCAAAATGGCTACTGAATAAGGTATCCCAAAAGGTTTAAAAGATCAACTGTTGGCTAAGCAAGATGCTCTTGAATCCCACAAAGTTGTCGTCTGCAAGAGCGCACTGTTGCAAATGGAGCACTGCCAGAACACATGCGGCTTTGCATGCCCCAAACTCCCAGAATGAGGCATCCATGTGGAATCCCTGTAGGATATTCTGGGAAATAGCTCGTGTGAACAGAAACTGGATGCCGTCCACATAGGCAGCAAGCACCGCGTAGCCGTTCTTGTCGCTAATCATCACAAAGCAAACGCCGGCAACAACTACCCAAGATACAAGCACCAGAAAGAAGTGAGGTTGCAGCCACATTGACCAGAAGTGGGTCGTTGGACTTGCTTTCTCTTGCTTCGAGAAGCTCAAGAGAAGTACGCTGGTACAGGTCAGGCCAAAGCCCAGCCTTTGCCACATGTTGCCAGGCTCATTGAACATGTAAAGGCCTTGGTAGCCCAGCAAGCATATTCTAATAAGGGTTCCCCTTTTTTGGGTTTTTGTTGCTTTTATAAGGGAACCCTTGAACCCAAAAAAGGGAAAAGGGGCACCCACTAAGCTACCAAGAATCCCAGCACGTATGCACAGGCCAGCTGAGATGCACAGGTGGTTAAGAGTAAGATCTCCACGGCCAAGAGGGGCGTCAAGAGGCTGAAGACCAAGCCAGCAAGACCGTCTGTTAGCACGCCCAGCCACCATCGCGGCTCGCTGTAGTAGGGAGTCACTTGCCCGAACTTCTTCCTCAGGGCCATCGCTACGGCATGGAGGCAGCCCGCCACCGCAGCGCCCAGAAACGCCCACGACTCGGGAGACGGCATGTCTGCATTTGCCAAAGGTCTGACCATCATCGTAGGAAGCGCTCTTAGGGGTTAGGGCAGTATACGGTTTAGGCATATGAGTTCACAAGTCGAGAAAGACCACACCACACAAGGTCGGGCGAAGTCTGCTGCACAAAGGTGTGCATCTTGTTTAGTAAACCCTAAACCCTAAACCCTAAACCCTTGTGCATCATGTTTGGGTTGCCTTAAGTCATGATGAAGCACGAAGACCATAGGGACGAGGAAAGGTTCGGTATCGAATTTGAGCCAGCGGCTCTCGTCCCTCGCAAGGATGGTGGCCCTCAACGCAGGTTCCTAAACCCTAAACCCTAAACCCTAAACCCTAAACCCTAAACCCTAAACCCTAAACCCTAAACCCTAAAACCCAGGCATCCGGAGCCCTGAATGAGCATGATGCCTCGACATCTTCAGTGCCAGAGAGACTTTGCAGTGGTGCAAAATTCACATGTTATGACTTGGGATGTCCCCCCCTTTTGGGGTTTTTGGGTTTTGGGGTTTGGGGTTTAGGGTTTAGGGAGTTCTTGATGGGGATTATAATGGGGGGAGGGGTACTATAATCCCTGCTAAGGACGGTTAGTATAAGGGGGGAACATCCCGAGTTATGACCATGTTCTTTCCAAGGGTCGGTGGTGTGTAACGCCTTGAAGCTCTAAAATATACAATCATGTCCTGGCCGTTCCTTTTTGCCCTCAAGAAAGCACGCAAGAGAGGTGTAACTAAGGGAACCAAAACCCAACCGCAAGGAAAGCAGAAAGGCACCACTGGGGGTTTTAGGGCTGAGGGTTTGGGAGATAACGCTTCGACCCTAAACCCTAAACCCTAAACCCTGAAGGCTGACGCCTGGCAGCCGTGCCACGGCGTGCTCCGGCAGCGACACGGCCTGGGCTCCTCCCTTTAAGGGGTATAGGGAGGTAGCCCTAGGAGTGACACTTAATCTTATCCCGGTTTAGGGTGTAGGGTGTAGGGTGTAGGGTTTAGGGTTTAAGGTTTAGGGTTTGGGGTTTAGGGTTACCTTATATACCCCCTATATACCTAAGTAGCACCTAGATAACCCCTAAGGTCCCTTATAACGTAACCCTCAACCTAAGTGTACCTTGATGGTTAGGGCATCTTAACGGCTGTCTGGGGGGTTGAGTTCGGAACAAAGGCGAAATGCACGTGAAGCAGACATACACCTGTCTCAGAGTAGGGATACTTGAGCTGTCGCTCTGGTGTTGAGAAGTGTCGAATATCAAGCGCTTGCGGTCTTGCAGTGCTGACTCCCTGGCTTACCTCTTATATTCGTGCCCATATGTAGGGTACACAAGAAGGGTTCCCGCTTTTGGGGGCATGCCCTAGACCTATGCCTGTACCCTCCTTCGGATGCACGTTTGTACTGATTATTGTTCTTCGCTTTGTCGTTTCGTTGGGTTCCATGAGACTGCTTTCCTTCAAGTGCGCCCGAGACTGTCGTGGGCACAGCACCCACAGCGAAAGGCCGATACGAGAAAGTTCCGGCAGGAAATCGCAGTCCCTCGTTTCCAGTACTCCTAAACCCTAAACCCTAAACCCTAGACCCTAGACCCTAAACCCTAAACCTAAACCAGTACTCAAGTCCCAGTGCTTAGGGAAGTGAGGGGTTCAGGAGCCAAAGAGCGAATTCCCCAGTCGACTGGGGGTTTCCTAAACCCCCAAAGAAATTTAGGGTTTTAGGGTTTAGTGAGGGTTTAGGGTTTCGGGTTTAGGGTTCCTAAACCTCCCAACCCTCACCACAGTCACCACAATTCCCCCCCTCCCCCCTAAACCATAAAAACCCTAAACCCTAAACCTCCCCTAACATAGAACCCGTAAGTTGCCGGTATTTAGGGCTTTGCTAGAGGTCAGTTGGGAGGTTCTGGTAAGCCCTACCCCCCGAAACCCCAAGCCCACAAGCCCCCAGCCCCAAACCCCAAGGCCCTAAAACCTAAACCCTAAACCCTTCTCGCTTCGTGACAGTCCGCATGACCGATTGCATATAAACCCTAAACCTAAACCTTAAACCCCAAACCCTAAACCCTATACCCCCCCCCCCCCCCCCCCCCCCCCCCCCCCCCCCCCCCCCCCCCCCCCCCCCCCCCCCCCCGGCCCCTCCCCCTCGCCCCTCCCTAAGCCGCCCCACAAAGGTGAGGAGCGTCCCTCGCTCCAGGGCGCCTTGTCGCTCCAACTCCTGATGCTCCAAAGGACCCCCGCCCCCCCCCGGGTTTAGGGTTTGGGGGTTTAGGGTTTAGGGTTAGGGTTTAGGGTTTAGGGTTTAGGGGTTAGGGTTTAGGGTTTAGGGTTTAGGGTTTAGGGTTTAGGGTTTAGGGTTTAGGGTTTAGGGTTTAGGGTTTAGGGTTTAGGGTGTAGGGTTTAGGGTAAAATTTACTATGGAGACTACATATGAATTGATCCTCAACCCTCTAGCCCCCAAGCTTTACTTTGGCTCGATGCCCTTGCAACAGGAGGGGCGGTTCCCAAAATAGGGGGACCCTGTCCCCCCAGAATATTACCCAAAGGGTCCATGTACCCACATAGTATATACTTGGGCCTTAAAGGGGTTCCCATATACTAGCTTTAGGGCCCAAGTATATACTATATGGGTACATGGACCCTTAGGGTTATACTCCTTTTATAGAGAAACCCCACGCTTTAAACCATAAACCCCAAGATCCTCATAGCCGCTACAATAGGGTTTAGGGTTTGGGGTTTCGGGTCTAAGGTCTAGCCCCAGTTGGGAAACCCCTAGATTCTTGTTTAAGGGCCCATATGAAGGGACCATGTAACAAAATGCTACACCCTAAACACTAACCCCTAAACTAAATGAGGGCTTAGCCCTAATCTCGGAAACCCCCAAATCCTAAACCCTAAACCCAACCCACTAAACCCTAAACCCCAAACCCCACAAACCCCGAACTCAAGCCCCAAACCCTAGGACGCTTGGTGTTTTTGGGTTGGAGTACCCTCAACCCTAACCCTAAACCCCAAACCCTAAGCCCTAAACGCTATACTTCAAACCCTGAACCCTGAACACAGGCGCGCGGAAACACCGAGCATCGCGGCCCCTTCGAGTGCGGGGGTGCCGCTGTGGGATCGCAGAGCCTCCTGACTCCCCAACGTGGGAAACCCCAAAGTGAAAGCCCGGTTTTGGGGTACTAAACCCCCAAACCCGAAACCCGTAACAAGCCCTGACCACAGACCCCAGGATACCTGACCAGATACTCACATCAACCCTAATATCCCCTTAACAGGCCTGAACGACAAACCCCAAGATACCCGATCAGAACCTTATTTTTCAAGCCTAGTAATAAACCCTATACCCTGAACCCTAAACTCTAAACCAAAAAAACCCCTACAACCGGAAAATGCCCCAACAAACTCCCTTGAGTCTTTGCTGGTGTCCTCTAGCGCCGATGGCGGGAGCTCTAACTTGTCGTCTGTCCTGACTGGCAACTTGGGGGGTTAAGGTTTAGGGTTTAGGGTTTAGGGTTTCGGGTTTCGGGTTTAGGGGTTAGGGTTTAGGGTATCCCCTCAACCCCCCACAAGTAACCGTCAAGATACCTTCGGAGCACTCCCCATGGTTGCAAAAAAAAGCCGCAGCGGCCACAAATACTGCGGTCCCTCTTACTTTGGCCCTAAACACTAAAAACCCTAAAACCCTAAAAACCCTAAAACCCTAAAACCCCTAAAACCCCGAAAACCCTAAAAAACCCAAAATAACCTAAAGACCCTAAACACTCCAAACCCTGAACCCATACGTTGGCAACTTTGGCCTCATACCCGGCGAAAGACTTGACTGACGGGGTGATCTTGAGAAGGGGGGTGGCTTTTCAGGATTTTACCACTGCTTTGCGCGGTTTTAGGTCCTGGCTTTTGGGCTACCAGGGGTCTTTGGGGTTTTTTCAGCGTCGCAGGGGCGGCTTCGGGTGTTTTAGAAGGTTTGGGGTTTTTTTGAGGGTTTAGGGCTTCGGGTTAGGGTTTAGGTCGGTGGTTGCGGGGGTCGGGAGCTGCCATGTGGGTACCTTTGCGCGGGGCGTCCATAAGGCAAATACATGGCTGAAGGGGCGGACGCTACAAAGCTGCAGCGGTTTAGGGTTGAGCAGCCCGAGGTGCAAAAAAATGAACCGACCACAGCGAAAAAAACAAACACCTCGCCCCAAGAAAAAAAAATATGGATCCTCTGGGTGTACCGACCTCCAAGCCCGACAGCCATACCCCGAACCTTACCTTTTCTCGGAATCCCTGAAAGAGAGAAGGAGCTGATTCCTTGCAAGCCAAATCGAGGCTCTAATTCGGAAGTAAAAAGTATCAAAAGCAGGTCCAGCAACCCTAAACCCCCTAAACACCCTAAACGTCTGGAAACCCACCGGCCGCGTGCCTGCTGGAAGGATACGGTCTCAGGCGCATGCAATACCTGCAAGACATGAGCAGGACGAAAGTGGTGAAACTAGAGCCCTAAACCCTAAAACACCCTAAACCCTAAACCCTAAACCCCAAACCCCAAACCCTAAACCCTAAACCCTAAACCCTAAACCCTAAACCCTAAACCCTCGGAAGGGTTCCGGGGCTCATGGTAAGGGTTTGGGGCTTCTGCTTAGGACTTTATAGGGTGGGGCTTACGGCTTTCTAGGGTGCAGAACTGGGTTTAGGGTCTACAGGTTTAGGGTTTACGTGTAAGCCGTAAATCCATCGATTAATCGAGCTCCCCAGCCCTTACGGCTACCTTTCTGCGTTGCTTCGTTATCGAAGACTCTTCATTTCTTTCATGCCCGCTGTGACAGTTCTAACTTAAGGAAAACGTTGAATCATGCATCAATATATACTGTAGCATATGACCCGGCTAATCGACTTTCGATTTACTCGGCCCATGGCCAAAACATCTGCCCCAAACCGTTCTATGCCCGTATCCTTGGTTATGGTGCTGCCTGAGTTGAATTGTATGGGTTTAGGGTTTAGGGTTTAGGGTTTAGGGTTTAGGGTTTAGGGTTTAGGGTTTAGGGTTTAGGGTTTAGGGT